CGCTCGGGTGCGAGCCGAAGCCGGCGACGGCGTGGAACAATTGCACGCGCGCACTCCGCTCACACGCACTCGCCGCCCGCCCGCTCCGCGCTGGAGAACGCGCGCCCAGACAGACACGCACACACGCACGCACACACACACACACTCGCACACACGCAGAGGCGAGGGGGGAAGCGGCCGCCAGGCCCGGCCGCGGAGGCGGGCGCTGGCGGAGTCTTCCGTCCGCGGGCGAGGCTCAGACCTACCCTCTGCGCCATCAGTCTGCGCTCCGATCGGCTCCGGGCTGCGCCGCGCGGTTAGTCCCAGGCCGGGGAGAACGTGCTCGGGGCTGAGGACGCTGCCCCGGCCGAGGAGGCTTCTGCCGCTTCTCCAATACGTTCGTTTTAGGGGGGACCCCAGGCTAGAGAACCAAGTTTTCCCCCCCTGTGCTATTTCTTCTTTTTCTTTTTTTCCTTTTCTTCCTCCTCCTCCCGATCTTCCTCCTCCTCCTCCCCCTCCCCTCCTCCGCCTCCTCGGTCCTCCTTTCCCCCTCTTTCTCTTCTCTTCCTCTCAGTTGGAAAAAAAAATGAAAAGGGGAGGAAAAGAGGCAGGAGGAAGAGGACTGTCAAGCCCCGCGCCGAGGGCTCGCCGGGTCCGTCAGCAGCCACATGTAACCCAACTGTCGCGTTCCATGGCTTTTTGCCACTCCAGCTGTCAATCAAGCCCGGGATGTCACGGCGGTGAATGAAGGATGGCTGGTGAGGATGAGGAGGAGGAGGAGAAGGAGGAGGAGGAGGAGGAGGGGGAGGAATCTTTCAGACCCGCTTCTCTCCGCGGTGAGCTCGGCGAGGGGCTTCTGCCCTCCGCGTCCCGCCCCCGCCGCCGCCGGCCCCGCGCGCCGGGCTCCGCTGCGCCCCTCTTTAAAGTATTGTTCAGAGCAAGCGGGAGGACGCGCGAGGGCGAGGTCCCAGAGTTTGCAGAAACTGGACCCGCTCCCGCCGCGGCCGCCGCCGGCGCCGCGCTCCTCCTCCTCCCGGGGAGACGAGCGAGTGTCAGAAGGTGTTGGCAGGTCGGCGGCCGCCGAGCTTATGGAAGAGCCTCCGTTTGGCGGCGCGGGTCGGCGGCGGGAGAGCGAAATGACGGAACCCGGAAGTCGTGGTGGCCAGAGCCGGGCGCACGGCGGAGAC